ACCAGAGGTGTGCCACAAGGATCGGTGCTGGGTCCATTGCATTTTGTCATTTTATATAAGTGATTCGGATGTGAACATAGGAGGTATCATTGGCAAGTTTGCAGATGACACCAAAATTGAGGGTGTAGTTGACAGCGAAAAAGGTTACCTCAGAATACAACAGGTCCTTGATCAGATGGGCCAATGGGCTGAGGAGTGGCAGACGGAGTTTAATTTAGATAAGTGTGTGGTGCTGCATTTTAGAAAGGCAAATCAGGGCAGGACCTATACACTTAATGGTAAGGTCCTGGGGAGTGTTGCTGAACAAAGACCTTGGAGTGAAGGTTCATAATTCCTTGAAAGTGGAGTTGCAGGTAGATAGGATAGTGAAGGAGGTGTCCGGTATGCTAGCCTTTATTGGTCAGTGCATCGAGTATAGGAGTTGGGAGGTCATGCTGTGGCTGTACAGGGCATTGGTTAGGCCACTATTGGAATACTGCGTGCAATTCTGGTCTCCCTGCTATAGGAAGGGTGTTGTGAAACTTGAAAGAGTGCAGAAAAGATTTACAAGGATGTTGCCAGGGTTGGATGGTTTGACCTATTTGGACAGGCTGAACAAACTGGGGCTATTTTCCCTGGAGCGTCAGAGGCTGAGGTATGACCTTATAGAGCTTTATAAAATCATGAGGGATATGGTTAGGGTAAATAGACAGGGTCTTTTCGCAGGGTGGGAGAGTCTAAAGCTAGAGGGCATAGGTTTAAGGTGAGAGGGAAAAGATTTAAAAGGGACCGAAGGGACAACTTTTTCACGCAGAGGGTATTGCGTGTATGAAATGAGCTGCTAGAGGAACTGGTGGAGGGTGGTACAATTACAACATTTCAAAGACAACTGGACGATTATATGAATAGGAAGGGTTTAGAGGAATATGGGCCAAATGCTGGTAAATGGGACTATAATTATTTAGGATATCTGGTCGATATGGACAAATTGGACCGAAGGATCCGTTTCTGCGCTGTATATCCCTATGACTATGACTCTAGTGTAGACTTAGAGAAGTTTTATCTGTCGCTACAAACTCAGAGGGTCAAAAGGCCTCTTCTGTACTGTCGGATTCCATGATTCTTCTGTGCCAGATGTGACTGCAAGCCAGAAACGACTGGAAAATGCTGTTATTTTACTTCACAACACACAACAATCAGAAACAGTCAATAATGATAGACAAATATGATTCAATGATCTATGATTTAAATAACGCAGCACAGCATGATCATGGAATCTAAAAACAAATGCAAAATAGCATTTTTTAATACGTATATAATTGGACTGTGGTCATTTAACATAGGTAGGACAAAGAATAGAAAAGCTGAGTATTGCCAGACAGTTCATTACTAGTTGACAAATACTGAAAAGCCAATGTGACAGGCTGAAAATAAAACTTGAGGAAAGAAAATGTACAGCCATATCAGCAAATAACCATGCAGACAAATGATGGAAGCATTTCAAATAATGTTCAACAGAGCACAGGAAATATGTTTTGCGCCATCAGGAAATAATAAATCAAACCCAAGTGGGACCTCAAGAATATACAGTGATAAGGGAACAATTAGGAAAAATGCAGAAACTGAGTAAGTAAACAGCAAAGGACAGCATGGTAAGAGAGAATGCAAAGAAATGAGCAACCGAGTGAACAAAAATTAATTAAGCAAAGAGGAATATTAAGTTGTCCAGGAACATAAAACAAAATAGCAAAACATTTTACAGACACATCAATGAGAAAGGAACAGGAACAGGACTATTAATAGTGCCAGAGGTAACAATAGAGAGAAGGTAAAAATATCCAAGACAGAAAGCAACAAGTGGGAGTAAAGGACAGTTAATCAGAGAGAAGATAGGAAGTGGAGTACCACAAAGACTGGTGGAAACACTGCTGTTTGCAATTTACTTGAAACTTGGACTGGGAAAACAGTTTCTGAATTCACAAATAGTCAACACTGAGGACCACAAGCAATTGCAGGAGGACATTAACAAACTTGCGCTGTAGTAAATAATCAGCAAATGTAGCTCAACACAGTAAATGTGATACAGTACTTCCTTTCTGGAAGAATTGGGTACAAGTTTGGATGAAGCAGAGGAACAAAGGGCCCTCAGATACAGTATATGAACCACAAAGAGTTGGGCCACAGATTCACAAAGCCATTTAGTGAACACTCAAACCAAGTTCCATTTTAGAGGGGCAGAATTGAAAAGTAGGCAATTCGTGTGACATCTGCCTTGAACCTTGGTCAGATCACCTTTTAGAGTATTGCACATAAGTGTGGTCACATATTAGAAAGATATGGAGGTGCTGGGAAGTACAAAGAGGATTTACAAGCATAACACCAGAAATGGTCCACAGATGAAGTTGGATCAAAATCCTGGAATTCCCTCCCTAATAGCATGGTGAGTCTATCTACAGCAGTTCACCACTACCGTCCAAAAGGCAACTACAGGCAATAAATGCTGGCTCAGCCAGCAACGATCGCATCCTATGAGTGATTTCTTTAAAAACTCAATTAAAACTCTCTTTTGAAAATAGTAGGATATGGAGTGTTTCTCCTTGTGCACAAGAACATAACAGGAAGCCATCTCTACAGGATAGTCAGCAGGAAGTCCAACAGGGAATTCAGAAGAAACTCAATAGAGTGGTGCAATTAAAGGACTTTCCTCAATGTAGGACAAGCAAATGGATCAATTGCACTTAAGGAGGAGGTAGGTAAGTATCAAAGGGAAGAGGAAATAAAGGAAAACAAGGGTGGATTTAGACCAAGCAGAATTAGATAAGGCTGGAGTGCAGCATCAGTGCTGCTTAAACCAAATTGCCTATTTCCTATCTCATATTGCATTTCTATCTGATGAGGTACAGATAATGACAACACAGAAAATATTCAAGATGTCAAACAATTCTTGTAGCATAGGTTAGCCTGAAAGACAGCAGCTAAAGATAGCCATCCCTGCATCTAACCTTATTTTAAAATTCACTCATGACAAAACAAATTAAATCAAGCACAAATAAGCTCACAAAGCCATCCACAAATTAAAAGGATATTATAAAACATGCATAATGAAACGCAGCTAACAAAAGGTTCCAATGCATCAGGTCAAACCTCTCCAATTCAGAGCAAGACTGTTCAGGTTGAATGATCAAATCTAGGCCAACAAAACCTAACAATAATCAATTAAACTGCTGCCAGGAATCAAACCATTGCCTTTCATTATCTTTTATATAAAAAAACTTTTGTCAAAGAACAAGCCTAATAATAAAGCTACTTACATC